ACCTACCAGAGGGAACGGATGCTTTTGCACCCATGGATTTCTGCATGGACATCATTGCTTTGTCAAAACCATGGCCTTCGGAGCCTTTGCCCTTAGAAGTTGAACGCCAACTTGAAAAGCATCGCGCGGAGGCATCAAGCTACTTTGCGGATTGGTTGGCGCAAGCACACTAGCTGATTGAGCCCTGGTGTCTCGATCGAGGCCCATGTCAGCATGCACGCCAACTTGATTCATGCATGCAGCAAACATGCCAGCAAAACTTTTGGGTCGAAGTAAATCTGAAGGGTTGGCTCCAGAATGAAAGCCCTTTGCCGCCAAAGAGTTCCGCATAGACATCGTACCTGGCAGATGCTATCGGTCATTAAAGTATGGGGGGCCCGCATGGACCCAGGGTTCTAGAGTGGAACCTCAAGTCTTGTTGGCTGCGTCACTCCCAAATTGATCTTTTTTTCGGAGCAGGATCTCTATAGTTTGCTTTGCAAGTCGTAGGCGGGCTGCAAACGGCATCATGAGCAACTTATTGAACAGGCTAGGCGGTTATCATTTTTCACCCTGCAGTCTACCGCTCCACTGACCTGCCATTACCCCAATTGGAAATTGCACACCCTATTCGTGTGCGACAAGACCAGACAAAATGCCTATAGAAGGCTCTTAAGATCTAAGATCGGCCACGGCCACGACCATGCTTCCTAGAGCCGTCGTCGCCAGCAGGTGGACATGGAAGTGTCTTCACGAACTCAATGCCCTCCTCATTGAGCTGCTCGCCTGACAAAGGTTGGGAGAATGGTGTGCCCCCTGATAATTTCATGCACGAAGTGGCCATGCGGACTTGTTCACCTAGCTCAAGTCCACACGAACAAGGTTTGCATGATTGTTTAAATTGTTTTGGACCTGCAAGCATCCTTGTGACACGTTTCGTTTTGGGTGGCCTACATCCGTCCGCTGCAAAAACTTCATGGCCAAGTCCTCGTTGATGACACTCTTCCATGTTGCATCCTCAGCAGCCTTTTCCCAGTAGTAGTCGATGTGCAGCCACCAAGAGTCCTGCACGCAGCCGTCAATGGTGAAAAGGAATGGAGTGGGTTCACCATGGTTACATACTAATCGGTCTATTTTACGGGTGTTCATGGACGTCAAGTCGCACATGATATGTTAAACACAATCTCCTCACACCAGGTGTGGCCGGTGAGGTACTTCCGCAAGAAGGAATTGTAGATGTCCCGCGTCAGGTCAAACCTCTCAATGTTAGACTGCGTGGTGGGCCGATAGCGTTTGGCAAAGGTGGCCTTCTCCTTGCCCTTCTTCTCCTTTGCTTCTCCCTTCTTGCTCTTTGGAGCCCGTTTGGGAGCTGCCTTTGGCCCGTCCTCCGTGTCCGGCTCAACCTCATCATCATGAACCTCATCGCCCTCGCTCTTGCGCTTGGCGCTCGCTTTGTTCTTCTTATTGGTCTTTGGTTGGGCTTTTGCCTTTGCTTTCTTCTTTGGTTTGTTCTTTGCCTTGGCCTTCGCCTTGCTCTTCGCTTTGCCCTTGGCTTTGCCCTTAGGCTTTCGCTTGCGCCCTGAATCTTCACAAGGCTCAGGCTCATGCTCCTCATCGTCATCGCCTTGCTCTTCTTCCTCTCCCTCCCCATCATCATGGTCATCTGTCTTCTTCTGCAGCTTCTCAAGCTGCTGCTTGCGGCTGACAAATTGGTCCTGGAGCCGGCTAATTGGATCATGATGTCAATTGCAAAATGTTGCAGAGGTTCATGCATATATGCATGCATGCATGTATGCAGTTTTTTTTGGCAAACCCTCCCAAAACAAACTTGAGCCCCATACTGAGCGCTCCTCGCCCTTCACCAAGGCTCTCTTCTTCGCTTCCAGCTCAGCCTCCAAAGCTTCCCCAGGAGCGGCGGGGGCAGCAGGAGCAGCAGGTCCACCGGTTGAAGAAGGCTGCCACTGTGTTTCAGCTATGTCCATAGCTGAACCTGAATTGCGGGCAAGATCAGATGGAAGGAGCTGGCCCAAGGACCCCACCCTATATACCAAACAACTATACAAACTCACCATAGCAAATCATAGCAAAACTTGCTTGCTTCTCCAAAAATGCTTGTGGTTGTGGCCAAGGGGCCGGTACGGGCCGCCGGGCGCGGAGCCTCCTCCTTATTCACCTTCTTCTTCCTTGGATGGCTCCACGAAAGAAACAAATGACCCTTGGGTTGGCCCCAAGTGTCAAACGACCCCCAAACGGATGTGTTCATGTGAGTCCCACCAGCCTCGACGCTGACGAGCGGTCCAACCCACTCCCCCGGGGAAAACAAAAATTTGAGCAAGGACCAGTTTCTCTTCCATCCTGCTTTTCACCATCTTAAGCAAAGCTGAAATGGCAGCTGGATCGGGTCTTTGTGGAGCATTGTTTTGGGTCGCATGCTGGGGTGGTGTGTCAGGAGGTTGAGCACGTTCATATGGACCAGGGTCACGTAGTTCAGGGGGAGATTCCTCCACAATTTGCACATCATCATCGCAGGCCAAGGACAGCAATTCGTCAAAGGAACTGCTTGATTCAAGCGCCTCGAGCT